ATTTTTCTCAAGAGAATTGCTTTGCTAGTACCAAGTTCTCTCGCTCTTTGCTTGAACGTTTCATTCTCTGTACGGGTGAAAAATGCCGGTTTTGTTCTTACATAATCGATAATTTCGATCTCTGCATTCAACCTAGCGAAAACAATGACGAGAGCCAATTTTATCTGTCATTTGCGGGAGACAATCGAGCATGTCTGTTTCTTTATCGATCAATGTGGTGGAAGTATTGCGATCGTGACGGTAGTTACATCGAACTAAAATAAATCATTTTAGGTGGTAATTCCTCAATTTGGTCCTGCAATATTTTTTGCGTTTTTCGAAAGAAATATCAACACGGCAAATGCGTTAACGACAGAGAATATACTTTTTAAAAGATTGTTTACGGATAGTATGGCAATTTGGCAAATTGCAGATTCTCATGCATATATATCACAACACCGAAAAATCATTCCAGATTAAAACTCAGAGAAACCACTTAAACGCCAATTGATAGCATTCTTATGGAAGTTGTGTTAGTTTTCCATCCCCTGATGCAAAAACAATAGTAAGAACAATGAATTATCGTTAATATACAAAGCAATGATTTTTTGAACATGACAACTCATCCGTGATTTTCCGTGCTGCTGAATTTTGCAAGGCAAAACTCATGGGCGCATGAGCTCACACATGAGTTTTTCCAAACACTGTCTGGAATAATCAATTTCCGTAGGTCGGAGAATAGAGGATTTTTACGAGTTTGCGATCTCCGGTCGGACGTAGGACGTCATTATCACGTAGGCAACCTATCATACGTGACAGCGGGTCCAAGACAGCAAAAAAAAAAACAAATGAATTTAGCTCGGCAGATTTTATACCTCTCACTGTTACACTTTTCAGAAATTTCTGATCCCATAATCTTGAAAATTTATAAACCAGTCTCAGAATCTTTGCTATCTTAGAATTAACTAAATTATTTCCATGGCTCTTATCTCAGGATACCTTTGGACATTTCTTTAAGATTTCCTTAGGATAATTTCGAAATGTCACCAATGATTTTTTTATTGTAGGCACTTTAATTCACTTTAGGTTATTCGTGTCTTGTCCGGGAATGAGATTTGAACTCGTGATCTTTAGCGAGGAAGTTTCTTTCAGGATTCCCCTCGATATAATTTAATGACTCTCTGCGGTGTTTCCTAGAAAGCTTCACCTTAACTAATTTGTAATTCTGTGTAGGACAGGAATTCCCTCCAGAATTGACCACTTTGTCAAGCAGTTTTGGCGTGACTTTTTACCAGCGATTTCACAAAACTGGACCAACTAATTTCTATTTTTTTTTATGAAACGCACAAATGTTGGCTACTTTTCTCGTGGTTCTAGAAGAAAAAATCTCAAAAAAATTTCAAAGTTCGAGTGGTAGTAAACGTCATTTTAACTGCTCGAATGAAGTGGTTAATACTCAGAAAATTCACTCTAATTTATCGTAACGGGTGGCATTTAAAATTTTGGAATTTCTTTCTCAAGCTGCCAAGAAAAGACAAACATACTTGAAGAAGATCTGATTTATTGAAATTAAAGATAGGGGAATTTACGTATTCTCGTCAATCTAAGCAGCGTCCGCACTTCTATTAGCATTTTTTCAGCGTCACGCACATATATGACGTGTCTGTTTGTTAAAATTCATCTGCTGCTTGCTTCTCTATCCATTCCAATCGACAGAATTTTTCAAAACGGGTTGAAAGCGTTTTTACAACGCTCCAAACTTCTCAGGTGAGTGCGACTATTGTCGGCAGCCTCTTTTTCTTCGGCAACCTTCCCATTAGAACTGCATGTTAACCAGCTGTTCTATTATCGGCAACTCGAAATCAGCCCCTTTTTGCAGTGCGTATGCTTCATTTGAAGATAAATCTGGCATAATAGGATTGCTCGGTCGTACAAATATAATCAGATTGAGGCTGAAAGACTAAAGAATCGTTTGGATACATTCAGGGAAGTGTGTTGATGGGAAATCATAGTGAAATTATCGTTTAAATTGTGGTTGCCGAAAACAGTCAATGGGTGCCGAAGCCGACATTTACCCTACATTGTCCATTGTTGAAAAAAAAATTAGTGAACATTTGAAAACGGTCCGTAATCGGATGTTCGGTGAAGCTTTCGTTTGATGTCGGAACAGGAGCGTTGTACGGCCTTCATGTCAACTTTGCGAATGCATCTCTTGATTCTACCAATCAACTGTTTGCAATTCGTGGCTCTCCAGTTATTTTTGCACACCAAGGAGCTCAAAACTCCGAAGAAATCTTCGATTGGCGACACTGAGGCAGATTTGTCGGGTTGTGGTTTTTGGGTACAAATGGGATCGAATGGGAATTCAGGAACGATTGTGTTTTTTTGGCGTAATGCGATGACGCTTTATCCGGCCAAAACACGTATTGTCCATCAGCATGATGTTTTTGTAGAAACGGGATCAAAATTTTCTTCAAACATTCGTTCTGGTACACATATTGATTGATTGCCAACCCAGAGTGCTTGAACCATGGCACGAGAAAGAGAACGAAGTTCTTTTGCGTCCATAATTTTGGCTGGTCTTCCACTACCTTGCTTGCGAGCAGTTGTTGGGGATCTTAGGATATGGTAAACAGTCGAAGCCGCAACATTTTCGCTTTTAAAATGTTGTACCGTATACTTTTTGCCGAGATTTCTGTGTAGTTCGTAGAACTGTACAACGCGCTCGCGAAATACTTCTTGTTTCGACGGCATTTTGAGCAAAACTGAGCAAGCATAAACAAAACAGAAAATACTAGCAGAAAGAGGAGAGAGAGAGCTAACACATACACACTCTTATTTCTCTCTGAGCTCGTTTGTTGTTGAGCATAGAGGCCTCGAAAAAATTCCAAAATTTTAGTTGCCACCCGTTAGTATTCTTTATAATTCCCGCAAGCATATACTTTAATTTCTCTCCATAGTTTATCCTAGAATTACCTTGCAATATTCTTCAGAAATCTCTTGGTATGCCCATTAGAATTTAGAAAGTATTCTTCCAAAATTCCCTTGGATTTCACCTCAAAACTGCATGGGAATTTTCCTCAAAACTCCCTTGAAATTCTTCTGAAAATGGCGTTCACATAATCTCTTGGGATTTTATTGTAATTATGCAACAATTCTTACAATTTGAAATTTAATTAGAATCTCCTAAAGCGCTACTCCGAAGTTTTTGGAAATAATTTAAAAGCTTTCCTTTAGGGACCCCGCCGGAAATTTCTTAAAACTAGCTTGAAATTCTGGTCCGGTATTTTTTTTTTAGTTTATTCAGAGCCATGTTCTTCTTAAATTATTATCGATATTCATTTGGAGCTCTCCTCAGAATTATCCGATTGATTTTCTTTTAAGAGATTTTCAACCGTAGGTGATCATTAAGGGTAGTATCAGAATTGTATCCATAGCATTATTAGGTCGACTCTACGATCTTTCAGACATGTTTACATCTAAGCTCCCAGGAAAGGTTCCTCTTTCCACTAAAAATATCAAACCACTAAAAAATTGCATTGCAACATTACTCAACTGATCGATTCTGCTCGTTCGCAATTGACCATAATGAATAGCGCTCAAGGGTCGTTTTAAAAGGTAGCGATAAAAACAATCCAATATTATCACCATTCTGGCTAGCAGAATTCAACTTTTAACAGTACAACCGAGTGCCTCGACCGAGCACACTCCGGAGTGATAAAACTGAAGTTGAACTAAATTTTCTTTCCACCTAGGACTCTCTCCCCATCATCACCTTCCCCCGTTGATTGCTTTTTCTTTGCTGATTCCATCACAGAGTTCACCATTTACAATAGATTTCTCGAGTGTACTGTTTTCATGTTCATCGAAAACTTTTTTTTCCATGAAATAAAAAGAAAAGTGTGAAAAGCATTTTTACCTTCGGGCGTCGTTCCCGTACCTATACAAAACACCCCCGACATAAAAAAACGTTTCCTTCTGTTGGCACTAGGTAGCCGTCCCGATCCAGAAGCAATGCAAACAATTGTCAAGTTTTCCAACAATCCAAGCGTGAGCATCTTTCACTTGCACACTTGGATGTTGTTTCTTTTCCATGAATGCTCAAGCGAAACGCTCTCTAAACGCTGAAGTGGCTCTGCGGTGCAGTTGCAAAGTTTGGTGTTCTTATTCCAGCACGTTGGGTTTCCTTCGATCTCTGTGTGTGTGTGTATGCACTTGGTAGATAGATGTGCATTCACGAACTTAAAAAGAAGGGTTACAGTTTTCGTACTGGAAGCTATGTCGGCTCCCAGCTGTTCAGTGAGCACTTCCTAAAAAAATCGAAACCACACCTCGTCGCTTTACAATGGAGCCCCTCCGATATCCAATGGAAATACAAGCCAATTTAATAAACTTAATAAATTTGAGCAATAACGTTATCGATGGATACCGGTCCCAAAACGAGCAAACCGTTTTCTATTCTATTGATCTCACCGGAATCCTCCAATAACCACTCTTTCCGGGTAGTAGTTTCCAATCCACTTCTCCAGTTACCACGTGCTTAAGTTTCCATGAACTCAAAGCAACGATGATGCAATTTTCCACCACACACACACACACATACCCACGCACATACTCAGGCACTTTTGCACAACAATTGCATTAAAATTTATTGTCTGTTGAAAGAATGAAAAGGAAGAAAAGTGTGTAAGCACGGTGAAAACTTTGCCATACTTGGAACTGAAGTTGAGATGCGAAGAGGAAAAGTTCGCTGCACATATGATGCGGTTGTTGTTGTGCGTTCGTTCGTAGGTTCGGCGACGGAGGTGTTGAAATATGCGACAGCCGAGGCACTATATATACAATGTACATAGGTACCTACAATCAGTTTTCAAAACAAAACGAACCTGTCCGTCTGTTTGCTACACGCCGGAAAAGTTTGAAATATATTGGTCGTCGTACGGATTCTGTCGAAACCGGCTGATTTATGGACTCTTGTACTGATTTCCCTTTGCTTATGTGCCGATTTTTTTCCCTTGCAGGAGGAACGTGGCGTACAGAAACTGATCGAAACATGCCACCCGGAGGATGACAAGCTGTACATTACCGTGTCATCACCGACCATCAAGAACAAAGCGGTCCAGATTCGACCCTGGCGCCTGGCCGATGCCGACTACGTGCTGGACGCTTCGATGCCGCTAGATCCCCGCAAGACGGTGTTTGTCGGCGGCGTTCCGAGACCACTGAAAGCATGTAAGTGAGACTGTGATTCTATTGCTAGTTTAGTACCTTATATTACGAGTGACTTCGATATCACACAAACGAAAGATTTTGATTCGCAATGTTTGCCAGGTGCAAATCACCGTTCTTAAATAAGCATATGCAAGATTATCATGAATACCTTGATGACCTAGATCTCCAAAACCTCATTGTCATAATTAAATCTGCTTATAATCAAAGAGTTTTCTTCAAATTACAGTACCCATTCGATTTTTGGAACGGTTAGATTCTGGCAACAAACCCACCAAACCGGTTTTTGGCACCGTGCTATAATCCAGGGCTGTTACAAGATTCTCTAAATTTGATCCGCGAAATCCGCGATTTCTCAAAAGAAATCCGCGACTTAAAATACTAATCCGTGACAAAAAAAAGTGTTTTCATTGCCTAAAAATACCATTTGTATGCTACTACATGGCATTTCAAGCTTATTGCTTATAGCATATTAGATTTTTGCGTGCTCTCAACTTAGTGTTCTTTGAAGTACCTTCAAATTTTAATTGAGAGCTTTCTATGCCTGTACCATCATACGCCCAAGGAAGTAGAGAAATTTTCCAACACGAAAAATTAATAGACCGGACGGGATTCGAACTCAGTCGCCTCCAGCATGCACTTGCTTTGAAGCTGCACCTTTACCGACTGAGCTTACCTTTGAAAAAAAAATAACAATGTACAGAGGCGTCGCGTGCCTCATTTGTTTACCTGTGCACCAAACTTTGTTCGTTATAGCTTGCCACCACATATTAGTTTATGTTTTATTTTTCAATGCTCCATGAATTCGAACATATTCTCAATTACTATATTTATCACTATCTAACGTAACATTTGAAGGGCCTATCATCTTGTGTAAACAAAACTTGTACATATGGCCCTTTTTGCGCTAACGAAGTAGGAGAAATTGCAAAACTTGAATAATTCTCGTTTTTATCACGAGGTTTAACTCTTTCGACTGAAGTGTAATGAAGAATATCTGTTAAACACTTCTGAAGCATTTTTTGATACAAAACAGAACAACACTATCAGAATGAACCAGGGGAAGCTCATAAGTTTTGACAGGCGCACCGGCGCCGAGATGGTTTTATCACAGGTGTACAGGAGCTCACGGGCTCCCAGTGTTGGTGAGTTCTTTATTACATATTTTTATTACGTTTCCCGCATAAACGCGAACCATAACTTGACCTTACCAAAAATGGTTAAAAATTGTTTATAATCCCTGCTAAACTTCAACTGAAATGGTTATGGAACTTTACTAGAACGTTTAATGATAAAGTTTTAACCTTATGTATTATGGTTTTTTTGGAAGCGGACCTTACAAATAATGAGTTGTTAAGAACCATTACCATTCAAAATTCTTGTTTTCTCCATATATTTTCGGGAGGAGGACTATATTAGAACCTTTTAACTTATGGTTTGAGAACATTAATGGTTATGGTTATGGTAGTCAGTAAGATCCATGAATAGTTTTGTAACATCGATCAACTTTATGTGGAATATATCGCGAATTGGTTGCCTGTAAATTACTGATTACCAATTCACGATATATTCTACGTAAAGTTGAGCGATAATACAAAACCATTAATGGACCTTACTGACTATCATCACCATAACCATTAATGTTCTCAAACCATAAGTAAAAACGTTCTAATATAGTTCTCTTTTCCAAAATGTACGGAGAAAACAAGAATTTTGAATGGTAATGGTTCTTAACAACCCATTATTTGTGAGGTTCGCTTTCAAAAAACAATAATACATAAGGTTAAAACTTTATCACACAAACGTTCATGTAAAGTTCCATAACCATTTCAGTTGAAGTTTAGCAGGGATTATAAACAATTTATAACCATTATCGATAAGGTCATGTGATGGTTCGCGTTTATGCGGGTTAGCAATGATTTCGATACGGTGCATTTCCAGTGGCTGGGGTGTTGGAATAATTCTTTAGAGAGAGGGCAGGGGTTTTTCCCATGTTTACTTCTATGCTTATTAAGATTATGTTGAACAACAGCGCCGCAAATCATCAATTACTATTAGAGATTTGCATCTTACTAATACCGGTGGTATATTGGAAACTCTTTCGCTCGAAAGCAAAACATATTACAAGAACATCATGATGCGCGCTTGGATGTGTGATTGTCTTCTCAAGTGTTTCTGTTGCGTATAAAGTGGTAATTATTGAAAATCGAAGCAATCACCAGTGTTGGGAAAATATCAAAAAATCAAATCTTATCAACGCCCAAGATGACGCTTGATATTAGTAGACAAAAATGAACAAGCAAACAACTGCTCGGAATATCAAGCTAACAAAACTCACCAGCTGCAAATCTCAACAAACTGTGGTGAGATTGAAATCCATGATTTTTGCTTTACACCCAGATGCAGCCGAAACTTCCATAACGGCTGGCAGCAGTCACTTCGTGTCTGCCATCGGTGAGGAGTAAAAAGAGATAGCAAACTATACTATCTCTTTCGAAGAAAACGATGTGCAACGGAATCATTTTTGTGTCGAGTCAACTCTCAGCTTGATATTGATATGATATATTTTGTTCCAATATCACGCGTGATATTGCGTGCGCATGAGAGCGGAAAAATATCGATTGATTTCTGATTTCGCCAACACTGGCAATCACAAACAAGTAAGAATCTTGCTATCGGAATATAATGATGATGACTTCGAGGACGATATAAACCAACACTTCTTCCTTGTGTATCACCTTTGATGAAGCTCCTAGCAACGACGCAACCATCGGATGAGAGCAGGACTGGCAATGTCATTTCACGCGATATTTACAGAGATACTTCTGTCACTATCATCGGATGAGAAAACGATAATAGAGATTTTCTTCAAAATCTCATCGAATTTTTCGTCATGACAAAACGTGACAGTGTTGTGATCATCGTAATTACTAGCTCATTTATTGCTTTTAAAGTTACTTGTACCGAGAAAATCGTAATAATATATTCACCCTACCGATAACATACGGTTTCTTGCTTGAATTAATCTAAACCAGTTAGAAATGTAGATGTTAAAACCGCAATAGACTTATTCTCATGAGTGCTTGATCATTGGAAAATGACAAGAAAGCTAATGATAGGTAGTTTCGTCTCGTGATAGTGAGAGGACCTGTTTTCTCATCCTCACATGACGGCCGTGATATTTACCAGCTCTGGATGAGAGATTTACAACTGACAAGAGAGTGAGAGCGAGCTTTTGCACTCTCCTCCTACATTACTCTCTTTGCCTGCAATCAGATATCCAAGTGCACAGCTAGAAATGCACGCTTTAGTAGGGTTACCATATGGTATCCTAAAGGAGGACATGTCCTCCTTTTCAATAATTTTTCTGCATCCTCTTTTTGCCCGAAAATGTCCTCCTTTTTAATCCTTTCATTTTTCCAGTAACATATTCATAAAATTGTTTTCAAAGATTGTTTGTATTATTTGTTTAATTATGTCACAACCTCATCTTATCTAGAAAATGTCATTCGATGGTGGGACTAGGAGTATACTACAGCTGTCAACCCCCCTACATTTAGGCTGCGGTCCATTTGATGAATCTTAACTTAAATTTGACAGATGGAAAATTTTCAAATAAACCTGCTATTCTACCAGACATATTTCAGACAAACCAGGAATCAATTTTGACAAACAATTTCTCGAAAATCGGAGATCGAACATTATAATTTATTTTCGAAGTGTCAGTGAAAATTCATTGAATGATTTAATTTGATTATGTACATGATAAAAGTTGGGATGGGTTTAAGACTGTAAAGCTGTAGTTTTCATCCAAATCAGCTAGACTAGATCATTTCCAAGTATCAAAAATGAATTATGAAGGCTAGTTTGATACATTTTTCAGAAGTATAACAAGAAGATTAACTGAATTGGTAACGACTACAAGTTATGACAATCTCAATTGAACCTTTGCAAATCTTGAATTTTGTGATAGCGCACATATTATTGAAACGTTTGATAAAAACTCATTGTCCTCCTTTGATGTTAAGAAAGGGAATCATTGCCCTCGCTAATCTCCAAACCTCAAATGAAATGTCCTCCTTTTCAAGTTTTTTATATGGCAACCCTACACACCAAAAAATTCTTAATTTTACTGGCGATGTAAACATCCATGCATGCAAACATTCATACATGTAAACTTCCTTTTCACGTAAACTAGCAACTTGCAAGAAATGTTGCAAACAAAAGTGGACAGTTGCATACAATATATGGGATATTACATGACATGTCTCATAAATTTACACGATCTATAATCTAAACTTGTATGATATATGACGCTCCATTTATGTGCATCATAGTAACGGAAATTTACACTATTTTTTTTAGCTGTGTACGCTTTAGGCACCTATACATCACAAATGTTCTTCTAATTTAAACTCACACATTCAAACCGGTCTGCAAGTATGATACACGTCCAAAGCGTACCAGACTGCTGTTTCCGTGTTGCTCCCGTTTGACGCGTGACTGCTGAAAGTTTCAATTACAACTAGTGGTGCAACCGCCATGTTTTGTGGAAAATGTGTGGTATATTTCAAGAGGTGATAAAAGGTCTACTAGGCTTACACCACGCATTTGACCATTCACAAACTTGTCACCCGCCACGCAAAAAGCTCGCATTTAGGTGCACTATTTAACGAGTGTTGTCATGGTAGTGATATCGAAATGCTTAGAAATCAATGCATTAGGGATTAGGCAGACCATCCGAACTGAATGTAATCCTTTTTGAAGCAAATCAAGGTCGAAGATTTAATTGAGCCACACTAAAAAATAGTGTATTCATGGTCGCTGGTGGTCTGGAGTAAAGAAGTACAGCAGTGACCAGAAAATCTATAAAAATATAAACACACGGCGCGGTTGTGTATTTACATGGATATTTCTTGGCGTCTGTCCAATGGTTAGACATTTTCATATTGTTTTATTTCTAATATGAACCTAGCACTTTTCGTTGTCAAATCATAACCGAA